CATTTTCGGACACCTTCAAATACTGCCAGACTGGTGAAGCCATTTTGGCAAGCTTGTTTTGCCGCGCAGAGTAAAGTGTCATGTATTTTACGTCATGCGATCGGCCCTCGCGATCGGCATTTTTAGAGAGCACCGATCGATCGGCAGAGAGTGAGTATCGGCCGATATCGATCGGAGCATCCCTAGGCACTATATTTTAAGACTTTAAGTTTTTGATGAAATCTTCCTGTTGAATGTGTAATGTTAAGGGAGAAATTGGGCACATTGAGTTAAGTAAGGTAATAAGGACATGTTTTGGTGAAAGAGGGACAAACATGGGTTCTGAATACCATAATGATTAGTTGTACATGTAGGGGAGAGAATTTCATTTCTTTCATTCAAATATTTCCATATGAGGGAGTGCATATATGAATACATGAACCCTTTGTGCACAGAGTTATGTGTATCATCTCGTCATTTCTGAATGTATACCTGTATTTTAGATGTACTCCATCAGAAGCCTGCCCACCATGGCAGCCCGTGAGTACCGAGAGGAAGATGGAGTGGAAGATATGACACAGCTAGAGTAAGTAGAAAATCACATAAAGGTCACCTCTTTGTGAGAGATTGTATTGGGAAGTGTAACCATTAAAGTGCAAAAGAAATACATTTATAAAAGTGTGATGCAAGGCAATCTGTCATTTGTTGGTGAATTATGACTTTTAATAATTAAGTGCTGGGATGTTTCATTCTCAGAGTAAATAGAGTGATGAATTGCTACTGCATATACTTGAAATACAGTGGTGAGAAATGCCAAAAGATCGATGAAAGAAACTGGTAAAATCCTTAGTGGAAAAAAAGGCCAGATTTGAATTTAGCTCAGTGCAAATATGTGAAGAAATCTTGATGGTAGAGTAATTCACTATACATTCTTTGTTATCCTTAAATGTGTTTGTTCCACTGCTTCGGTCTAGGGAGATGCACGAAGGGGTTGTTCTGCTGAACCTGAGGAACAGATTTGAGAGGGAGATTATATATGCAAGTATCTGAGCACTACACACATTCAACTACCTGCATACAACGTTGTACTACTGAAACATTCTTGAAAATAGAAATCTGAAGTCAAATCAGTTTGTTTCATTGTTTGTTTTGATCATAAAAACGTATCTCTTTCTTTTATTTTCAGACATACATAGGTAGTATTCTGGTTTCTGTGAACCCCTATAAGATGTACAACATCTATGGGACGGACATGGTGCTGCTGTACAAGGGTCATGCTTTGGGAGAGAACCCTCCGTGAGTCATTTCAAACTGTGGGGATGGTAAACTGAAAACAAAGTTGTTTTTTTAGTACACTTTTGTATAGTATATTTCATTGTAAAAACAATACAACACATATATTAAACTAAGAAAGTATGCTGACATGTTTGAAGTAAAGGAACATAGAATTGTTTAGGTAAATGATTAAGGCTGTACAGGGGATAAGGTTAGATATACTGAAGATAAGGATAGGAACAAGAACATAAGCTCGAGTTAGATTTCATTTCTTTCATCTCTTTAGATATCTGAGCTTGACTCTTTCTCTTTCAGGCATTTGTTTGCCATAGCAAACGCTGCTTATTCCAAAATGATGGATGCCAAACACAACCAGGTCATAATAATAAGGTAAGAGTGCGACTCTCTTCATAATCTTCTCAAATGTTCAATCATTAAAAATGACTTTCCATGTTTCTGCAAACCAGACATCACCAAGTTCACAACTAGATATACTTTATATAGAGTTTCATCCACTAGGAGTTTTTATCAGCTTATCTACCTGCAAAAAAGTCATACTGTACACCACACATTACGCCTGGTGTACCTGGGCCTTTGTAGGATTTAGGGTTTACATGAAAATAACAGAACTTGGATATTCTTTAACATTGAAGTGGCAAATGACAGAAAAAAAATCATAAATAAATGAGAAAAAGATTGGATAATTATTTTCTTTATTAACACAAAGACAACATTTTCCAAGAAAAAAATGAAAGGAAAGATATTGATTAACAATCCACAATTATTTACTCTTGTTGGATTAACCCAATATTACAAAAAAATATTGTTTTCTAGTGAATATGTTGCTTTAATGTCTGAGTGGATTTGTGACTTTCTAATATTATATTAAAACAACTTTTCCCTCTGAATACTGCCCACCTTTCCTGGCTGGTCATTTTCATTGTATTTCTTTTTTAATTATTATTTGTTTGCCCACAATTACCCTAATATGTCTTTGCAAACCTAATGTGTTAAAACAGTTTTAACATTATAATCTTGCCTCGTGCAACAAGACAGACTTTTTGCACATCATTAGTAACCTTCTGGTTTAGCAGCAGTTTAACCTTGGTATACACACAGTGTCCATCAAGCTCCTTGGACAGTTAGGTTTCCATCTCCAGTTGGATAAGTGTTTGTATATTCATGAGTGTCTGTCTGTGGTTTTCTGACAGGTAAACTTAAGACAGGCACCTCTCATTGTCACAACTGTTCTCCACACACAAACAGATGCCAGTTACATCTAACTCTGAAATAAAACAATAGACACATACAGAGAAATAGCCATAACTCTCATATTAAATACAAAAACGACCACACTCGCACACAACTGGAACACTCTAGCCATATTCGGAAGGAGATACCTGTAAGGAAAGCCCAGCCAGGTCTGGGCCAGGAACAGATTATCTTTCAGAGGTGTGTGTGTCCGAGTACACGTGTGCGGACCCTGTGTTTGTGTGTGAGTCACTGAGTGCGTGTTAAGGGGTTACTGAGGTCCAGTGACTAGTATTGGCTCTGTTTTAACCAGCCTGTGAGTCGAAACCCTATGCTGAAATGTGGTCAAAGTGTCGGAGTCTCTAAATACACCTGCAAACACGCACAAAACTCCCGCCCCCCCTTTGGCAAAGCTGACATAATGGTGGTATTTAGCGCTAAACTGTTGGCGGTGATGAAGCACAGTGTGTGTTTCAGGTGGTTTGGCGCAAAAGTGGAATTGAGGCCTTACCTAATGCAAGATTAGCTGGGTCTCAATATCACTTAGTCAATTAAGTCAAAACCCTTCTCAAGCTCCAGTAGGCAAGTGAGAAGTATAATATACTGGACTCTCTAAGTGATTAATAAACGCTGGGTGTAATGTGCCCAAAGTGCAGATAATGTTCACTGCTAATGATCTTGTACTCTGAACTTCAAAATAACTGGACTTTTTACTTCTTTACCTTGAAGATTAAATGGATTATCATTCTATTTAGAGAGTCCATCCAGTCCATACATGTATACTATATAGTAGCTCACTATTACCAACCCCCTGGGCTATTATAGTTAAGAAGGCAATGTTGTAAATGCAAGGACTTAACTGACCAGAAAAAGTGAGAAAAAGTACGACTTCAGCACCACGGACAGCGCCATGGATTTCTCAACTCACAGCAAAGATAGTCTAGTGATATTTCAAAGTCATGATCAGGGCTATACATTATAATTTGCACAGATCAGGTAGACTAGACATATTCAGTTAAACACCTCTGGCTCTGCACCCTCTTCCAGTTCACCAGGCTGTGTAAATAGTGTCTGAACGTACCTGTGGATATCCTGATTAAACATATGATTGCCTCACTCACTTATTGGACACTATATCTTTTATTTATATAGCCCATTTGTTGTTGAAATGTGCTACTTTATGTTTCCTTCCTGTGTTTCAGTGGAGAGAGCGGGTCTGGGAAAACGGAAGCACCAAACTGGTCCTTCGCTATCTAGCAGCAATGCATCACAAATGCAATCTTGCGCATCAGGTACGCATCAAGTGCTTGAACCACGCAACCCAGACAGGCAGACACCACACCAACTCACACAAGATGACTAATGTGTCTGTGCGTCTTCTTTTCCATGTCTTTGTTTCTCTGCTGGCTCTTCTTGGGTTCAGATTGAGGTAATGGGGTTCCCTGCATGATTTAAAATGGTTTACAAATCATCTTCACTTACTGTATGACCATAAGAATAGCAGGGTGCTGTGTTTTGATGTGGTGTGTGACAATATTCATCAGAGATGTTGTGTTTTCTCATGGATTTTTTTCACTTGCTTCAATAAAAGTATGTCGAGCGTGTGGTGTGTGTATGCTGTAAACATTAACAAATGATGGTACACTGTCAGTTTGTCACCAAGCTCAAAAAACATTTACTGTGTGTTTGAATGTTTTGCAGATACTTGAGGCTGCCTCCTCTGCTGGAATCTTTTGGAAATTGCCAAAACTGTACGGAACGATAATTCAAGTCGCTTCGGGAAATACATAGAGATCTTTCTGGAGGAGTGGAGTATAGAATCACTTACTCTGTTTGTGTTCTTTATTATATTATATTTAGATTAGATATACTTTAGTGATCCCAAAGTTTATTATTATAATTTCTACTCTTTTTTTTCTCCTCTATTTTTTTGCCCTCTCTCGGTCCAGTGGTTGATCAGTGGTGCCATAACCTCTCAATATCTACTGGAAAAGTCCCGTATCGTCTTCCAGGTGACAGACACCGACAAACACATAAGATCACCCTCAATATCTTGTACTTTTCTGTGTGAGAAAGTATTAAATCTGTGTTTTCCCTTCAGGCCAAAGATGAGAGGAACTATCATATCTTCTACGAGATGCTGGCAGGTCTTCCCTCGCAGCAGAGGCAGGCTTTCTATCTTCAGGAGGCGGAGACCTACTATTACCTCAACCAGGTAGAGGAAACAATCCTGTGGAGATACTGGGGTTACATATATTAAAGGTCACCTATTATGCAAAATCCACTTTTTCATGTCTTTTATACATCAGCATGTGTCCCCCCTCTGTGTAAAGAGATTCTGAACGTTTCAGGAAAAAAGATTCTCTCTCTTTTTGTCCTGATCCATTTATATAAAAACCTGTCTGAAAATGAGCTGATCAGATTTTGGCCACTTTATGATGTCATAACGTTTTTTTGGCTTGTGTAACCATTAGCCAATCACCAACCGAGGTAACACCCCCCCCCACCTTATCACCTGAATCTCCTCCTAGAGCACCGATAGGCGCTTTCACACCAAGTACTTTTCCCAGGAATAGTTCCCGGGAACATTTCCCCGGAACTTTTATTTCCTGGAACTATCTAGTAAATCGCGTTCACACCGTAATAAGTCCCTGAGGGAGCCGCTGACGTCACTCCCCGGTCCCCGGCCGGAAGTCCCCGGAGTTGGGGACTGGCTTCAGTGGAAGCTGCTGGGACTCCCAGCAGCTTCCACTGAAGCCTTCCGAGTAAATCGCCAGAACGCCGACACCTCCTCATCTCCACCACTCCCATGTTTTCTTTTGTGTTGCCATAAGTTAGTCTCTCTCCGTTGGTGCGCTGGGCTAATGCTAATAATGCTAATGCGAGCAAATAAAATGGCGGCTTCACAAAAAGTTTTCAGAGTTTTACGGGGCGTGGTTTGCAATTCGCCCAGCCAATCAGAAATTGGAACCTTTTTCTCCCCAGGAAAGTACCACCTCTCTAGCAGGGACTAAAAAGGGGTGAAAAGGTTCGCAAAAAAAAGTTCTAGTTCCAGATCTTTTTGGTGTGGAACGCAAAAATCCCAGGAACTATCGGAACTATTCCTGGGAAAAGTACTCCGGTGTGAAAGCGCCTATTGTGTTATTTTTAACCAAATATCTCTCAGAGGGGCGTGGGGAGTGGCTCCTTATTTTCATCTAAAGTAACAGACAGAGAATCAGCACTTTTGAAACAGGGCTGAAACAGAGGGGATTATGGGATGCTGCAATGATCTGTTTGGTATTTTGAGCCAAACACTTCAGAGACATGTTTTGTGTATATCTGAGACCTATAATATATTGATGAAAAACAGTATAATAGGGGACCTTTGAGTTTGCTTTTAACTGTCTTTCTGTCCTTAAAGGGGGGGGATTGTGGGATAACAGGAAAGAATGACGCAGAGGACTTCCTGCGTCTGCTCGCTGCCATGGAGATCCTGCACTTCACCCCTGACGACCAGTCGGCCATCTTTAGAGTTCTTTCTTCCATTCTGCACCTCGGCAACGTCTACTTCCAGAGGCATGAGGTAATGTTTCCAGAGATCTTTCTCTATTCGTTTTTGATTGTTAAGGGAATAAGGAGCTAATGAGACATGAACTCAATTGAAATAAAAAGGATATGGGTTTATTTATTGTCTCCTTTTACTGTGGTTATATATGACAATACTAACTATATCACTAATGATCTTTATATTACTATTTTTTTATATTAATAACTTGAAAAGATCTGCAACAACACTAAAGAAATACTTAAAACGAAACAAAATTATTATAATAAAAACACTAATGTTGTATTATTAGTATTTATTATCATTATTATTATTATTATTATTATTATTATTATTATTATTATTATTATTATTATTATTATTATTATTATTATTATTATTATTATTATTATTATTATTATTATTACTTTTAAACACTTGTACCAAAAAACATCCACAACTCCCTCAACACTTACAACCACTTGCACACCCATCAGCAAATGTATCTTATTTTGCATTTATTTATGTAATTATTAATTTAAAAAAAGGGTACAATGAAATACAAAAATAAGATGATAATAAAAAAAAAGCAATACCAATATGTAACTAGATTATAATGAGTATATGGATACCAGATGAAGTGTTCTGTCTTTCTCTTGCTGTGCTGCGCGTCAGGCCGACGGCCAGGAGGTGGCGTCAGTGGTGAGCGCTCAGGAGATCAGAGTGGTGGCCGAGCTGCTGCAGATCTCTCCGGAGGGACTACAGAAAGCCATCACATACAAAACCACAGTCAGTATCAAAATGTATTTACTGTGCATGTGTATTTAAATCCCTGCATCACAGCCAAAAACAAAGACTTTTTTTTTCAGTTGTAAAAAGTCTATATAAGTAAACAACATGGACAACCTGAATAAGGTGTTAGAGACCAGCAATGTAAATCAACTAAAACATTTTAAGACAGTTCTTATCCTGATATTTTCTAAAAAATAAATAGTCTTAGCTGTCGTGTCATCTTCTCTGAAACCTCGGTCAATCTACCTGGCACGTTGCATGTTTTTAAAATGTATTTCTGTTACCTGGGAAGTGTTTTCCCTCTAATCTCTGACCCTGTGGTCATTCATTCATTATGCTTTGAATCTCAAATCAAATCTGACCTCATGAAGAGCCGCCTGATTCTGTTTCTGTGTGGTGACAGAATCCCTTTAAGACACATTTCAAACACTTTCCATTACTCACAATGTAACTACAGATGTGACTTCGATATGTCAGCATTCATTAGTTGCGCATATGGCTTACACTCACAACACACATGTCCACACACACATCCTCCTGTACACACAGCACAGTACACATGCAGGAAGAAACACATACATATGTAGAGTGATGCTTCTGGCAGTGGAAGCATCACTTGCCTTGTTTTGTTTGCAGTCCGTATATTGGACGGTATGTATCTTTTATAAATAGCCACACTCAGCCGCGCACAAAAGTAACAGCTTGAGGGATGGAACATTTGACATCATAGCCTTTTTAAATAAGATTACTGCTTTTCTGCACCAAAACAGCATTTCATATTTATTTGAAAGGCTTATACTCATTGTCTTTGTGTCCTTTAGCCTGTTACCAGGCAGGAGCTGAAGCCCAATCGTTTTTGATCTCAGGAACTCCTCTGGAAACACATTTTAGGCAGGAGGACTAATACAAAAAAAAACGTTTGCAAATATCTGGCTTCAGATTATGTTATCAACAGAAGAGATGGCACTCACATCCAAAAATCTTAAGAAGATAAAATAATGAATAATACAAATTATAAAACATGTCCCCCATTGTTCTTCTTTGCTTCAGGCAGGTGGTTTCCAAGGAGCAGTCATTATTAAGGGTTTGATTATCTAAAGAAGGATTTCAAAAGGTTTTACAACAAAAACAAAACAGCAGTTCTTAAAAGACAATAATCTTAAATCCAGCTGCAATCTCCCTCACTTCTTTCACTTATCTTCAGGACATTATTCTCCTTAATCACCACCACTGTTAAGAAGACACTCAATCCAATGTATTCAGGGTGTCCGCGGGGTCTTAAAAAGTATTCAAAGTTGATAAATCAATTTAGCGAAAATTAAGGCTATAAAAAAGTATTAAACGGCATTTTCCAAGGTATTACATTTTGTAGCTTGTTTTCAATAAGTATATAAATTGTCCAAAGAGGTTGTATTCTACAGTTTGCCTGAATGTAATCATTGCGTAGGTGTGTAGTGTGATTCTGTGTAGTTTATTTATGGCATCCCGTTGGATCTGACGTCATCTGAACAGGACATCGCACGCTCACTGCTTGATAGCGCGCGAAGGCCCGTTTACGCCGGTTGTTAAACAACATCGTTATGGGGAAATGCAAGTTTGCGTCCAAATGGTTGGAAGATAAGGAGGAAGGACAATCAATACTGTATATAGTCAATGTGAGGTAAAGTGTGTCGCCAAGGTAACCGGTTAAAACTCCAAGTGGCGATGAGGTCTTAAAATGTACGGAAAGGGTCTTAAAAAATGTCTTAAAAGGTCTTACATTTGATTCCTGCATATACCCTGGTATTAGTAGTTTAATGTTTCCAATGTACCAAATCACAGCATTAAACATACTCATTTATTCAGTATTACCTTAAAACGTAAGTGAAAAAACCCAGTAGCTTCTAAAAACTGAAAAGGCAAAATGGACATTTCAGCTACCTTACATGTTTTACTCTTTTGTCTTTTTTCACAGGAGACGATGAGGGACAAAATCTACACCCCGTTGACTGTGGAAAGTGCTGTTGATGCCAGGTGAGCAACAGCTGCATATTCAATACATGAAAATGTTTAATAACCTTTCAGTTCATATTTAAATCATTTGTTTCTGTTGACATAAAGAGACTTCAAATCTTCAAAACCTGTGAGAGAGTTATGTTTGTTAACTCTTACATCCCCCTTAAATACTTGTTGTTTCCCATGACTTCCAATTCATTATTTCTCGCACCACTTTAAAAGATAATGGTGCATTTTTATTTCCATACAATATTCCTACCCCTCACTGTTATTGTCCGTCTTTCACACTCAAGTGTTTGTTCTCCAGAGATGCTGTTGCCAAGATCCTGTACTCGCTGCTCTTCCATTGGTTAACAGAGAGGATCAACGCTCAGGTGTATCCCCGCCAACACTCCCTCTCCATCTCCATCCTGGACATTTACGGATTTGAGGTACAACGAAAGCACACAGTCTTGCTACCTGTCTGTCACTTTGTTGTGTTGCACTCCAGAAATACTCCAGTGTGTGTGTGTGTGTGTGTGTGTGTGTGTGTGTGTGTGTGTGTGTGTGTGTGTGGGAACAATAGGATCTGACCTTCAACAGCTTCGAGCAGCTTTGCATTAATTATGCAAACGAATACCTGCAGTCCTTCTTCAACAGGATCGTTTTCAGGGAGGAACAGGTGAGTCAACGTCTCACACACGCCACACACACACACACATACACACACACCAAGATGTATCTAAATTAGTTATGGAAGTTTAGTCATTTTATTCGTAAGTGTTATTACATGTGATCCCCATGCAGGAGGAGTACAGACGGGAACAGATCCCCTGGCAGGACATCCCATTCAGTGACAACCAGCCCTGCATCGACCTCATTGCCGCTAAGCCTCATGGGATGCTGAGGATCCTGGACGACCAGAGCTGTTTCCCACAGGTGGGGCAGAAAATAACTTTGTACATATATGTTACACACACACATTTAAATATCACTTAGAGCAGGGGTGCCCACACTTGTTTGGCTTGTGAGCTACTTTTGAAATGACCAGCTCACCAAGGTCTACCAACCAAAAATTAAATTCCAAATTGAAAGGGGATGAATAACAAAAGCTTTAACACATTTTATTTAGACATGGACAGAAACAAATACATGTGCTCTAAGTCTTAGAGTCTTCTGCTTTGTTGCCAGGCGACAGACCACACCTTCCTCCAAAAATGTCACTATCACCACGGCAACAACCCACTCTATATGAAGCCAAAGATGCCCCTCCCAGAGTTCACCATCAAGCACTTCGCTGGACGGGTCACCTACCAGGTACACAGCTTCTGATTGGCTTATATCGAGTGACAAAACCTGCTATTAGTTTTCCAGTTGGCAAACATTTATTTGATTGACTGACAATGACAATAATGTCATTGATAACCTATGATCAGTAACACAATGGAGAAAAATTAAAAGAGTGTATGGAAACAACACAAAACACTGCTGGAAACCTCAACTTTTCCCTGACAGATTCTAATCATTTGTGATGTCAATAACACAGGTTTACAAGTTCCTTGATAAGAACTACGACCAGGTCCGTCAGGATGTTCTGGACCTGTTCATTCAGAGCAAGAACAAGGTGAGAGAAGAGAACCATATTCCAACATATCTCACGTGAATAAATGTGTTTCAGTGAAATGTTTTTCTGTGTGTCCAGATGGTGTCAAACCTCTTCCTGGTTCACGCAGAGGTCACAGGTCAGCAGAGAGGTCACATGAGGAAAAGCAGCACGGTCACCAGGAGATACCAAGCACCCACCGTCAGCAACAAGTTCCAACAGTCTCTGCTGGAGCTGGTGGAGAAGATGGAGAGGTGAGCCTGACAGAAGAGGAGATGTTTACCCTCAGAAAATAATTTCATAGCACACAGTTGCTGCCCACAAACTGTCCCTATTGTCAGTAAAAAACAAAACAAATATAGTTTATAATTAACAAATTAAATTGCAAGAAGTTAATGTTGTTTACTTTTCTTTTGTTTCAGGTGCAACCCTGTATTTGTACGCTGCATTAAGCCAAATAATATGAAGGTACTGTAGGTTTTCAGACTTTCTGTTCTTCGACAGATGCCAATGCCTCACTGTTTCCTGACATTCATTGTTTTTCAAATGTACGTTTTTCTCTGTTTAGCAACCGGGTGTATTTGAGGACGAGATGGTCGGCAGTCAGCTGAGACACTCAGGTGTGCTCGAGACCATCAGGATCCGTAGAGAGGGGTATCCTGTCAGAATGCCATTCTACATCTTCCTGTTCAGGTAACACACACACATGGTGGTACTCACAAGATGGTGGGAGGCCCATTGGTGGAAAGGCACTAGGTAGTTTGTATGGGAAGTGATATCGAGTTGCTTAAATATGGAAGCCATGAGAGGCAAGTGAGAAAAAACTAAACATTTCCTTGATCTATTTTCAAAGTATATTCTAATTATTCTCTCTGCGTTGAGTATGCCTGAAAATCAGTAGAAAAAAAGTGATTTCAGAATAATCTTATAGGAGAATATTCTTTTTGTCTCTATCATTTTTTCTTCATTCTTTGACCACCTGTGGCAAAAATGAGTATTACAACAAGAAACACATCATCTGGACAAAAAAGCACTTTTTTTCTCCATAGATAAAAATAAATAAATTAAAGGAATCTGTAGAGAATGAAAACATTTGAAAATATATTATTTTTAAAGCCAATGTATTTGTGTAGAAGTGTACATATGAGTATGTGAATGTGTCTTCCTCAGGTATAAGTCCTTGGTGGGGTTACGAGAGCCTCCAGCAGCGAATGGAGACAACTGTATAATAATGCTCAGCAAACTGTGTCTTCTCCGACCTGGAGACTTCCACGTTGGAGTCACAAAGGTGAGTCTCTCCTCCCATTTGTTAATGCTAATCCTTCACAAAACTAGCAATGCAATACTAATAACATGTACGTGTGTGTGTGAATGGCAGCTGTTTCTGAAGGAGGACATCTACCAGTTGTTGGAGTGTAAGCGGGAGCGCTCCCGTCAGCTCGCCGCTCTCACCCTGCAGCGCTACACCCGCATGTTCTTCGTCAGGAAACGCTTCGTAGCTTTTCGCAGGAAGATAATCGGGCTGCAGGCTCAGTGCCGAGGCTTCCTCACCAGGTCGGTTCTCTACTGTTTCAGAGAAATCAAACTGTTTGTAAAAAGCAACAAAGTAAAAAGCTTGATTTATCTGATGAATAAGCATTTATGTAAACAAATGTACTTACTTTTATCTAGATTGTATAACCTAGCAGTGAGGAAAACCAATTAAGGTTAACAACAATACACTTTTTTAATGGGTAACACATGTATGTAAAAATGATGGTACATTTTGAGAGACGATAATTCATTTAAACCAATGGTTGGCCAAAAATGACCTAAAGTTTCCCAAAACAACAGTGTTTTCTTTTGGTCATATTGGATATCAAACAGACAAGCATGACAATAACTGCAAAATGAATGCATATCAATTGAGAAGGAAACGTTTTAATACAAACTATTGCCTCATATTAAAACTCACTGCATGTTATCCAAAAATCAAAATTGTTTTATAAAACTGAGCCAAATCCTGGCTTAAAAAACACATTTTAGCAGGGACTTCTGAAACAATTACTTGTAGCATGCCTACAACGTTTGTCCTGTTGTATGTGTAGCAAGAATTATCAAAATATGACATTAAGAGAAAATGTGTTAACGTGGTGATTCTCAAATTCTTAACTCTGCCTTCCAGGAAGCGCTATGTGAAAATGAGGCAGAGTCTGGTTCGGTTTCGCTCTCTCGTCCACATGTACGTCAACCGCAAGCAATATATCAAGGTACATAAATCAATCAGGCATATACTGTTAAAAACATTGCCCACTTTTGTGACAATTTAGTGCTTTAACTTTGTCTTACTCTTGTTTGAATTGTGTATGATTTCTGTTTCAGATGAAGTTTGAAGCCCAGAGGATAGCTGAGGAGGAGAGAAGGAGGAGAGAGATGGTACAATGGACGTTTTGACAGGATAAATATGGGACAAATGTATCTGTAAAAGTAGTATCTTCTTTTCCCACAAGACAGTAAAAAACAGTAAAAACTCTTTCAGGAGCTGACCAGGAGGGAGGTGGTGAACGTCACACACCTGGTCATCCCTGCAGAGCTGGGAGCGTTACTGCAGGCAGCCGGAGGTCTGTCAATGTCCGTCATCTGTCTTCCTGTTTGAGAAGTGACATTAAAGTGCAAACACAGATTATTCATGAGCCCAATAGCTGAGCTCTCACTGAATGTGTCTCATCTCATCAGCACTAAAAGTGTCATCTCCAGGACTGACTTGAATATTCCTGACAGAGTGGTGGCAGTTGATAAATAAACCATGCATTTCAATTTTTTCATAAAGATTGTCAACTTTATCCCTCAAATATCGTGTCTGTTGAGCTTCAGCAGTGGACATTTAAAGTATAACAGTATATCATGTGTATCTATATGTTTAACTCTAGTTTTTTTTATTGTAATGTTAAATATATCAGTGGCACACTAGGAATAAGTGGAATAAGTGTGCAAAATATTTACATTTTATTTTCGGATCCTGAACGAGACCGCCGCCAGAGCGCGTCTCCCCGCTCTCTTTAACTCCAGGCGACTTGCTGCTGCTGTCCTCCGTGGTGAAACGATCAGGGGTGAAGTGCTGCCGGAGCGCGCCCGCACTTCACCAATTGCAGTAGGCTACCCATAAGGAGCTGTACATGCCGCAGTGTTTGCGTGGCTGTGTTTTTAGTTGAAAGCTCAGTGGCGATCTGCTCGTCTCTCATCGAAAATAATATGCTACACAGGGGCGGACTGGCCATCTGTGTGTTCTGGGGAATCACAGAACGGACAGTCGTCATTATTATTATTATGCCGTTTAAACCAATTATTTAAATGTGTTTAAACGGCATCTTACAGGTGAAAGAGGTCCACACACTGCTCCCCCGCAGCGAGGCTCCCCCCGCCCTCCCGTTGACAGTTCACGATCGTCGGCACACTGATCACAATTTTTTTTTTAAATGGCACATCATATCAAAAAGGTTGCCGACCCCTGGTATACAGTATATCTTTCTATATTTGTAGCTGACTTGCAGTTTGTTGTTTCTCTCTGTTTCCAGTCAGGAGGGAGTTGCACTCAGACTGTCTGGCTCTTCTTCAAACTCCTCACATCCAGGAAGAGGCTCAACTCACCCTGCCTCTGGACATCAACAACTACCCGTTCTTCCGCTATGTGCAGATCTACTTTAGGGTGAGACACTGAGTGTAACAGTATACTCACAGTCAGTGCTGAAGGATCAGATCACCATGCTGTAGATATACAGTAAATTCAAACATTGTGAATATTTTGTTGCTGTAGGAACCAAAGTTTGGGATGTTGACGGCGCCTCTGGAGTCTCCACTGACCCGTGTGGAGGAGGACCTGAAAGGAGAGGCTCTGCAGCTCTTCATCATGGTACACTCCATTCTCTCATGAACATGGCACTTCAATACTGATTATACATTTTCACACATTCTGCCACAGGCGTTGATCTTCTGGATAAACAATGTTTTTCAGACCAGCAACAAAAAGGAGAAACCATTTTAAAACCCACACTTGCCTTTCCCCATTTTCCTTGAGCATGACAGACCAACTAGTTAAAAGTCTTCTAAAACCTTTGTCACTTACCGTCTGGGGCCAATCAGGGAGGACAATTGAAGCAACACATTGTTTGTTCTTCACTTCCAAAAGTATGTTCCGAATTAAAGTCTACATAAGTCTGCATACAGGGGAGGTATTTAAACGTAACAAAATAGTCTTTTAAGCCTCAGACAGACAAATGATAATGTGAATAACTAAGAAACAGTTCTTTGAGGCCAGGACAGGCCCAATTTGACAGCAAATCAGAAATCCAGACACATTTAAAGAAAGCTACAACAATACACAATATTCTACGAGGCAGTGAGATACCCTGAGTTAGTTGTCATTGTTTTTTTTATTTCAAGGTACTGCGTTTCATGGGGGACCCTCACCTGAACGGGGCTCAGGAAAACATGTTTGGGAACTACATCATCCAGAGGAGCCTGTCGTCTCCAGGGTTACAGGACGAGATCCTGGCTCAGGTGGTGAACCAGGTGTGGAGGAACGTGAACTCTGAGAACGCCGAGCGAGGCTGGCTGCTGCTGCTGGCCGGCGTCTGCAGCTTCGCCCCCTCCGCCAGGATGGACAAATATCTGCTCAAGTAAGACAGGACTTCTTGTGTTTAGAGGAATCATTGAAACAATACGAACTTCTACGGGCAAATTGGAATGGGGTAGTATTGTAATACATGTAGAAAGAAGAAAAACATTTACACAACGGAAAATAATAACTATATATATACTTTTAATGTTTATGTATAATTCTAGTGATTTTTTATCTGCATCATCATTTGTATGGATTTTTCCTTGGCTCATGTTAGACATTTTCTCCAAGTTTCATAAAAACATTGGTTAGTTTTTCCATAATCCTGCTGACAAACAAACCAAAAAACAAAATATCGTCTTATTAGGAATAATATAATATGTATGCGAATCCATTTTGAAAAGCTAAATAAGTAGAGGCAGGTAGCACATCATTATATTAAAGGAAATGTACTTAACTTTGAAATGTGACCTTTTTAAAAACCTTTACTTTAGGACTTTACTTTAATTTTTTCAAATATCTAAATGTATCAAAATATTTTACTATACTATAAGGTTAATTCTCTGTTAACAAAACATGAAAAAACTATGTTTTATAGGCATAAAAACTTACTTTCAATAAAGGCTGTGACCTCAGGTGACCTTTCCTCTGCAGGTTTGTTTCTGACCACGCCCCCGCTGGTTGCCAGGCGCTGCTGCAACACAGACTAATTCAAGCCAATCAGAAGACACAGCTAGGGTCTGGCTCCACCCCTGAGACTGCACGGACCTATCCGCTGTCGCTCCTGGAGTGGACGGCCAATAGGAAGAAGGCTAACATGGTGTTGCACGTGCACTGCTTTGACGGTGAGATTCTTCCCGCCTTTTTCTAACAAAATATCTCGCAGTTACAGCTTCCTAGCGTAACATTCTCAAACACTGCTTACAGATCAAGGGACAGAAACCACACAATATTCACAAAATGTTCCTCTTTAATTGTTATTTTACCATCAGTTGTTCAACAAATCTTTCGTTTATTTTAAAAATGGTCACATCGAAAACATTAGACTTCATATTAAATATAAAGTAAGCAGTTTTTCTCAACTACATTGTAAATGAGCACACGGCTCAAATACAAGCGAGTGTGTGGCAGAGACTGCTGGCACTACTTTTATTGAGTGGGATCCATTACAGCCCCTGGTCATTGATAATTCATTGCCAGTAAGTATCAGGTGATGGAACTACTATACCGGGCTCTCGGGCCTCTTAATGGCTCAATTTACTGTATTTTGCTTTGGTGCGACTCCAATCTGAGTGATTTAAAAAGCACAGTGGAAAGGGACAGTTAAATTAAGGTTTCTTTGTTTGTTTTCCCCACAGGCGCATCGTTCCTGTGTCCGGTCCATTCCTGGACCAGTGGGGAGGAATTAGCAGGGGACATACTGCGCCACAGGTGCGAACATTTCATATTTAAAGTGGAAACAGACAACCTTTATTTCCCCTCTATCCACTAGTGTGTTCACTAGTTTCCACTTCCTTTGAGCTATAAATCGGGCCTTCGTTTTTCCATGAGATTGTACCTATCCTTGTTAAAGGAAATTCATTCTGAATCATTGCAATAATGACCAAAAAAGTGTCTATTGTCACTCACCTACAAGACACACAAAGTTAGGCTAATTAATGTAAGGCATTCATTTTCAGCTCTAGTTCTCCTTAGCTAGTTGTGCTATTTCCTTTTTTTTAATTTCTACGTATATGAATAACCTCTTAAACCGTTCTGTATTTCTTTAATCTTCCTACTTGAACCTACAGTATATGTTAATTTTGTATTTGTACCGCTTTAATGAACATACAATTTCATTATATTCTTCATACTCTTCAATATATTCCTTTTACTGCAAAAAATACAAACTGTAGTGTTGTAAAATATGTGCATTATTTAAGTAGGTATAAGGGGGTATTTCAAAATATGTGTTGGCTTTCTTCCAGGGGGGTGTCGGACTGGTGGAGGGGGAGTTCAGTCCTGATGAAGGAGCACGGCCAGTGGGTGGAGTTAGCGGGTCACGACTATGTGATGGACCTGATTTCAGACCTGGAGCTTCCTCCTGACTTCCCAAAGCAGAAGAGCTACTTCATCATCAGCAGCAACGACCCGGCCAGAGTCAGAGCCAACACCAGCTTGTCAGTACACAAACAAACACACACATGCATGTATACATAACTGAGATCTAGTTATTTACACTAAATATCTAATTTACCTCATAAAAATGTACCTTTCCTTCCAATTTCTGCCCTCCTCTCAGTGCTCTGTTTGGCAGTGGTTTCGATTCTGATGAGGATCTTCCTCTCAGAAACAGCAGACCAGCGTACAGTCTGCCGGACTCTGACGGTTACCACAGCCACGGTACACACACACAATTATATCCCTCATATTTTATGCATGTATTACCAAGAATATATACAGGACTAGCAAGTCTTTATACATCTATTGCATTTGAAGACAAGGTCAGATTCACATTTTGTTATAGAACAAGTACATATAATTGCACCATATTTTATAATATAGTTAAGGTTTCTTGTAATTAAAAACGTACATGATGTGATGTGTTGAAAGCTGCTCTGCTGTGTGTCTGTGTTCAGTAGAGTCCGATGCGTTCAGTGACGGTCAGACTCATAGAGGGATGGACCGGTACCTCGACAGTCTGTTCGACCCGGTGCTGTCAGACAGCAGCATAGTGAGTACTTGCCCTCTGCTTTGTAAATATAGTAACACCTCTACCTTTAAAGTGGACCTATCATGCTATTTTTAGGCAATAGCATAGGTCTCAGATATATAACAAAATATAAAAAACATGTCTATGAAGTGTTTTGCTCAAAATACCAAAAAGATCACCCATTCTAGCCATGCCTCATATCCCTCTATTTCACTTCCTGTTTCAAAAGTGCTGATTTGGGGTATAAAGCTTTAAAAAAAAAAGGAATTGATAAAAAAAAAGGAGGGGTCTGAGCTCATGTGGGACCCAGCAGCAGCTACTGTCTAAACTAAATACTGCCGTGATGAAACGCCATATCATGGATTATCAAGGATTATTTCTGAAACAGTATGGAGCTCAAAGGCTTTCTCTCTTGCCGGTTATACCATAAGGTGAGTTCCTTTTTATTTCCTGCTTCTTCACACACATGCTCTGTGCAGTACAGGTTATCTCTGAGTGTTAGCGATGCTAATGTAAACACCGACCATATTACGTCCTAAACAGTCGGGCATTGTTTCTGATAGCAACGTTTCTGATAGGGCCGTGGGTGTAAAGCCAGCCTACATTTCCGATATTACGTCATATCGGACGCAAATCTGAATCAGCTCCGTTGTAGCCCCGTTTTTAGAGATTTGGGTACGGAGGAAAAGAGAGAGGGTTTTATTTTCTGACGCTGCGTGAGTTCCCCGACACACCGGGGACACATCTTTATGAATAAAAGACATCAAAAAGTGCATTTGGCATCATAGGTCCCCTTTAATATACAGAAATGCTGGTTAATACTTCCATCATCATTAGTTTAATATATATATTATATATATCATATTATTTTAAATGTTTGGTTAATTTGTCCTCTTTTAAAATGTGTGATCTAATTAATAAAAGTGTGAAAATGAAATAAAAATAATCACTCAGATATTAAGCCTCGATCCACTTGAATATGTTGACATGTTTAATTGTTGAAGTTAAAGTGTCAGCCAGTAAAAAAACGTTAAAAAAAACACAAAAAATAATAATAATAATAATAATATTAGTGTTGAAACCATAAATTGCTTAATCAAATACACTGTAAAAATGCAGGTGTAGGGGTTGTAATTACTTTTCTCAGTAATAGAGTGCCACAGTGACGCGTCCTAAAACCCGGAAGTAAACTCCTTCCGGTTCCTTCGACAAGTATAAATAATTTTCTAATCATAAATCTATCGATTAGATTTATGATTCGAAAATTATAAAAGTAGGGTAGACATGTGGATATTATCCGGCAGAACAAAACGTGATCTGTCTCTTCAATGTGTGTCAAACACAGACCTTATTTCGAGCTATTTTCCAAAATCCTATGGAGAAATTGCATTGTTTTTTTGTCGAAGGAACCGGAAGGAGTTTACTTCCGGGCTTTAGGACGCGTCACTGTTGCACTCTATTGGTTTGCATTGTTTTCACAGTTATCAAAACATGAAAACAGAAGTCAGACGCACAGCAAATGTTCCATTTTGTGAGCCAGCAAGGTCACAACATCTCATTGGGTCTGGTTTCATCTGGTGTACATTTTTCACACTTTTGTGACATTCAAATAGCCAGTCAATTGATAAATTGGTCAAAAAAAAACTGATTAATGCATGAAGGAATTTCTCATTCGCTGCAGATAAGAAAGGTATAAAAGTGTCACGTCACGCTCCCACCTGATCTGCATTGTGAATGGAGGGAGTGTTGATGGATGCAGGGAACATGTGATCCAAAGCTTCTGTTGTGTATGAATGGAGCAGACAGCAGGGCTGATTAAGTTACTGAGGGACCTGCCGTATTGGACCGAACAGCAGGCAGAAGGTGTGCTGAGCTCTGTGGGGATTACTGCTCTGTTACCTGCTTCACTTTTGGTGTTTTTGTTAATACTAAAAACTGGAGGAAACAGGAAGAAATGCAGGTATGTTAAGGGTGTAAACTAAGGCACTTTGTTGGATTCAAAAAACTTAATTTCCATAATTTTTGTAAAAAAGTGTCCTTGAGACCCATTCTTTTCCAAATGTATTTGGTTTTCAATATCAGCTGTCAATCAAACCGTGTGTGGTAACATTTCTCTTGGATTTGCTTTTGATAAAGTTGTAGCTTATGCCTGTGAGACTTTATTATTTGACATCTCCTTCTCCAGCTGCTGCTTAAAATATTGAGTACTTAACTTATTGAGCAGTAAAGCAGTTTTCCCCAAAAAGTAGCAATTTGGATTTGTTGTGTTGAAATAGTGTAAAAAAAAAATCGGAATCAGAAAGCTTTATTTTTACCGTGGGAAATTGTGTTTTAAGACAGTTTGAGACATTGTTGAATTACATTAAAATCAAGATAAGTACATACATGTGTAGAAATATGCACATTGTACTACAATATATAACATGTTTATTGCAATGTATTCAGTGGTGTACTGGGATTATAAGGTATTAATGCTGAATTTCACAGTTTAGAGGGTTATGTTGCATTAAGACAATTTAATCAGAGTCCCTACTACTTTGTCCTTTTTCTTGTGTTGATGAGTTTTTACCACTTTAACATTTTTGTTAAATTTGAAAAGGGTCGTTGTTACCTTTTTCTCTCTGTTATCCAGGACATGGAAAAGTCTGGACGTTTTTCAGCGAGGATGAAGGGAGGAGGAGGTATCGGCATGACAGGAGGAGGAAGAGGAGAGGGGGAGACCCAACCAGCCCCCAGTCGGCCTTACCCACCAGGGATACACCCCGGAGGTAAAACACTCAAGTTAGTGTGTGTGTTTCCTGCTAGTTACATCTACTCGTTTTCCAGATTTTCCATTCATTCTTAATTTTTTACAGTTAGTTTTGTGTCTCTCCTACAAGTTGTTACAGACTGGGTCTTTACATTTTTTATGATCCATTATTTTATTTCTCACCCTTCTTTTGTCCTGCTGCTCAAGCCTCTCTCACCACTGACATCAATAATTCATCTTGTTTTAAGTTGTTTTCTAAATCCTTGGCATTAGTCTCAAGTTCATGAATACTTAGATAAACAGTTCCCTGATTAATGGAAACACTGCCAAGATTGAAATGTTTTGGGTTAGTCTGTTTTCAACCTGTACTCAATACACAATAAAAGAGACATCATATGAATCTAAATCTAAGAATAGACACATAATACAGATAAGGCAGTCCTTTAATGTGGTTTATTGAAGTGTATCAAACATTGTATTTGTTACTATAGTTATTCCCAGGTTGTTTGAGGCTCAGTGACACAGAACCGGTCCAGGTGTAAAGTTCACCAGCGTTAACCGTTAGTCGTTTAGCTGTAATGACCTCATGGATAATGCAGAGACAGCCATTCACTGTAACCACAGATGACTCCTGTACTCGCTATAGGCCTCTGTCACTCTCAAATTCTCTCTCGCTACACACTCTTTATCAAACACACACACATGCTTTCATTTGATCACTTAATGCCTTTCTATAGGCGTCTCTGTGCATGCGTCTCTGCATGGCTGTACACAATGTGATTGTTTTTACTCCTGGTTTTCGGAGTTTGAAGTAGTAGTAGTACTGAGTAGTTCAATTATATTGTTGTATTGAAAACAGTAGGCATAAATTGTTAAAGACTTAATGTAATTCATCTACATGACATTTTGTGTGCACCGGGTACCTTAGACCTCAAAAGCAACGGAGGGGGCAGTAGGTGGGAGTTGGTAGGGGGTATATTTTTAAAAAGTAAGCAAAATTGAATGACTCTTAATATCTTAATTGTACATAGCATGAATAACATTTGCCCTTCACTAAAATGTATAAACAAAAAAAGAAGACATGCTAACATGCTGATGTTTAACAGGTTATATTTAACAGGTACATTTCTGATGATCTTGTCTGAGCCCGTCTTCCCTTGATGAAATTAGCAATAGGGTCGGAAAAAAACCGAGGTTTATAAGCAGCACTTTTCCCTAACCCTTAACCTGTTCCCTGAACCTGTCGCTCCTCAAGCTGTGCCAGTGCTTCCAGTAGCCGGAGGAATGATGCCCCCCATCCCTGCCATGCCAATCCCCTCCCACCACCATCACCACGAACAACACCAACAACAACAACAACAACAACAGCAGCAGCAGCAGGAGCCTCCACAACAACCACCACCCCCACAACAACAACCATTCCACCAATACAACCGTCCCCAACACCCCTACGACCCACATACTTCCTCCACCATCCCTCCCGCCTCCCGTGTAGCCCCCACCCCCTCGCCCTCTCGCACTGCCCCCCCCCGCTGCTGAGTCAGATAATGTCGCCTCCCATTTCTCTGCCGCCCCCCCGGTGGTTCCAGGCCTACCTATGATGGCCGGTATGCCAGGTACAGCCCCTTGGGGTGCGTTCCAGCATGTTTGGCCTGAAGCGTGAGGGCGTGGTGGAGTTACAATTACATTTGAAACAAGTTCCTCTGTGTGTTTTGATTGAAGTGGAGGAGTCTGCTGTGACATGTGCACTGAAAAAACTGAAACGTTGACTTTAATTAAGTGTTTTATGTCAACAGATTTCACATAACTGTATTAGGTGAGTTGAAAGGAATAATACAGTATTAAGTTGAACCTAATAATTTGTATTTAAACTTAATATTATTGCTTTCAACTGTTGACATAATACATTTAAATAAATTAAATGTGAACTGTGTGTGCTTCTGCTGTTTTCTACAGCAAAATCATCTTTACTAAAGGGTGTTTGATTGTTCTTATTTCTCTAGGATCTGAGCACACAATACTGACTCAACAGCAACAGGCCATCATCAACCAGCAAGCTATCATTCTGGTTAGTAACTCTGCTTATTGTGATATTGCTGTTGGTGTGTTTGTCTGAGTTATATGGAAAAGATATGCTAACACTTTGGGCTGTACCAAAAAGCTTCAAAGTGAATTTCATATTTAAATCAAGATTTGAATGTTGAACAGATTTTGTATTTTTCTTTTGCATATTTATTTAATTCAGTTTAAACCTGGTCTTTCTGCACAGTTGCAGATAAAGATGAAGCTATACTAATATTATCGGTATCATACTCTTGACGATGACTGACTGGGAGTCACTTGGATAATTTTAACCGACAGCTGAAAACACGTTTTTGTAGATTAGCTATTTATCAGCGACATCCCCTTTTAACTGGTCTTTTAATCCTAATCACTTCATTAATATAGGTGTTTTTATTTAGGTTTTTATTATATGTATACAAGGTGTACTTTATGCGTGTTGCAGGCCCAGCAGATGACCATGCAGGCCATAGCGATCCAGCAGCAGATGTTGGCCGTCTTCCCCCCAGCTGCCCCGGCGCCTCGGTCCCCGCCCGCACAGCATCACATGACACAATACTCCAGTCCTGTGAGTATCCACATACTTCTGATTTGCCTGCATGCAATAATATTAAGTTTAACATATTTAACCTTAATATTATTGCGTTCAACTTACCTAATACAGTTATATGAAATGTGTGTATACATTCTGTCCTGCATCAAAATATACTCAACGGTAAAACTTATTTTCCTGCAGACCAGAGAGAGTGAGGAGTCGCCGTACAAGCCTGCTGCCGTTCAGCGCAAAATAAGTAAGTTCTACTAAGTTACTAAATGTAAGTCGGTAGATTTGCTGTGTGGTTAATACGGTTATCACAGTGAAGCTTCAGGATGCCCCATGCTTTTTTTTGAAGAGGATTTTAATAGCTGAAGGGTCACACTGTTCTTTTACCTCTCTGCAATCTCATAAAATGCCCCCTGGAGAAGCTTTGACATAATTCTATGTTTCAGTAAGTACTCGATCTAATAGAAAGTGTTGTTCCAGGTCCGACCCGTGGCCCCCCTCCTGAGGACGTGGTACGATCCAGTGCCAGCAACACAGAGCGCATCGATCCCAGCCACAACATCAAAGACATCATCAAACAGCATCATCCCGCCGACACAACCACTGTTACTGGACCTGCTCCACAAAGGTAACACGCTCATCATTTTGTAACATACGCTTTGAAACATGAATATTAATAAAAGGGTTTTGTCCATCTACTGATTGGTGTGTGTGTGTGTGTGTGTGTGTGTGTGTGTGTGTGTGTGTGTGTGTGTGTGTGTGTGTGTGTGTGTGTGTGTGTGTGTGTGTGTGTGTGTGTGTGTGTGTGTGTGTGTGTGTGTGTGTGTGTGTGTGTGTGTGTGTGTGTGTGTGTGTGTGTAGGAAAGGTGATGGAAAGGTGTTTGGGAAGAAGTCAGACCCACATGATGAAGCTATGGAAATCCTTAGAGATCAGATGGCAAACCCCCCACAACCGGTACCCCAACTCAACTCAACACACACAGACAAAGACACACCCCCACACACACACACGCACGCACGCACGCACACACACACATTCTAATGGAATCTTACATTTATTTCAATCCTCAGACTCAAAGGAAGCCTCAATCCTCCCTACGTAAAGAAGATGGAGGAGTTAAGGTTACCAAGACGACCAAGTCTCGTCCCGCTGGGCCAACCAGCTCCAGCTTAAGCCCCGCCCCCCCTCCAGGTACACATTTTACACACTAATGTGACACGACGCACAGTAATAGACAGCAGAATGGCAGAAAGTTCTTCACAGCTTTCACACCTGCATGTGAATGGACCGTATGGGAAGTCAAACGTTTTGTGTGTGCTTGTGTTTCCAGTTTCTAGAGAGTTGCCAATAGAGCAGGAGATCATTCAGACTCAACTCCACAGTAGGACCAGTGATGAATATTACACCTACTCCAACGTCCCCTGGAAACTCTACATGAGGAAAGAGGTGTGTTTCTTCATTGTTTGTTAAACGGTTATTTAAGCTGTGCCTGATTTATGATCACAAACTATCACAAGGAACATTATTTAAGATGGCCCTGAAATATAACCTTACAGCAAATGTAAGGAAACAAAGACTGTCAAAAATAAGTATACGCTTTTTGAAGATCTTGTTGTAGTGAATATCAATTTATTATGTCTGCCACTCCAGAATCAGTCAGTGGTGCCAGACAGTAGAAATGGAATATTCAATTTCCCCTTGTACAATGTCATGAAATATAAAATATTTTTGTTATTTTTGTCTGTTTACAGGTTTTCTATCCTAAAGAGACATTCAACAGCCCGCTGATTCTTGACCTGCTCTTCAGACAGGTTGATTTATGTATTCCTTATTAGTTATTTACTTGTCTCTACATTTATTGTGCATTAAAGGTGGGGTAGGTAATTCACTTCAGAAACACTTTTTGTTATATTCCATGGAATGCTCTTAACATCCCGATAGCAATGAATATCTTAA